GAAAATAATCTCATCTTTATAAATATATTCTGTGTAAATTATTGACTTGTATTAATTGTCTCTGCTGAGTCCCATCTGTAGTAGCATGAGCTAAACTCTTCAGAGGCTCAGTAATCTCATTCCTGGGCTTTGTATGAAAACTGAAATAAAAAGTCTCAAAGCCCCATCCAAAGAGTCACTCCAGAGCTTGTGCAACCTTTACCCTTACTTCAGGCTTAGAATTTGACTTGGTGTTGTATAGTGCACGTTGTCTTTGTCTAATGGAGGCATGTTTCTATCCATTTAAGCTACTTACTTGTTCATGAATTTTAAAAGTTTTACTGGGACTCCCCCATGTGCCAGGGATACTGCAGGGTATTGGAAATGAGGTGGTGAATGTAGCAGGTAGGTATCTCTGTTGAAAGTACAGACTAATAGGAGAGGATGTAAGCAAATAATCTCACAATTGGAAGTACACAAGTACTCTGGATAGTACTATAAGGACATGGAACATGGTACTCCAGGGATGAATCAGAGAAGGCATTTGGCAAACGCAGAATGGTCATAACTTATTTCCCCATTTCTGTCTTCAGTTCTCTACAAGATGCCAGAGACTAGGGGAGAGCGGAGGGAGGGCAGGTTAGAGTGGGTGGAGAGCGGCGTTGGGAAAGCAGATGGTGTAACGCGAGGTGGCCCAGGGAGAAGAGCAAGGCAGGACCGACCTTCGGCCAGGTGCTATATCTCACTTTGTCACCGAAGAACAACTGATACTGGGTAAAGACTCATTTTCAAGAAGTTACTACAGAGTCATTTTACTCAACTTAATAAAAAGAGAAAGGAACACAATAAATTTAAAGTGATTCCCAATGTATGGTTAAAGTATTTTATTATTTGAAAGTTGGTATTGTCAGTTTTATGGCATAAGTTTATCTAGAACATTGAAGAAACAAGATTGCTACCTTTATCAGACTTGTCCACCCTGCAGGCTGTGGTCCATTTGCACTCTTTTTAAAAATAATATAACAAAACTATGTAAAAAGAACATTTTCTTTCATATATATATAATACTGTATATTTTATTAGTAGCCCAAGACAGTTCCTGTTCCCTCAGTGTGGTGCAGGGTCCAAAGCGTTGCATACCAGACTCACCCCTAGGTGCTCGTCAGCAGACCATGCTTGCTGTTTAGTTCCAGCCATTGAAAAGGTCCTAAATATTCTTGTAAGTGAAACTGTGATAATAACATTTCATCTTTCTATCTCAGGAGAGTCTCTGATACATATTCATTCAATTAATGTTTATTGTGAGCCTACTCTGTGCGCTGGGATGAAGCAATAAGTGCAGGACACGTGTTCCTTGTCCTCATGGGACTCACAGCTCAGAGGGGAGGCCAGCACTCATTTACAGCGGATCACTTGCTGTACCATGCTGGGCTCCTGATGTGCCCGCTCCCTTCGGTCGGATCTCTGCTCAGATGTCACCTGGGAGAGGAACTGCCCATGTCGCCATACATTCCTGTCCCTTTCTGTCTGTATCTCACTGTACTTCTCTTCCCACCTTTTATCAGCAGCTGTCATTATATTAGATTACTGGTTACCTTTGGGTCCAAGATTTAAGTGTAAGAATCCTTCACACGAAGACTGTCTTTTTCCACTCATTGCTGTATACTGTTCAGAACAGAGCTTGGAATGGAATAAGTACTCGGTAAACAACAAATGAATGCATGCATGAATGAATGAATGAGTGAGATGATGCCAGAAGTATGTAACTACCATCCCTAGTAAACGAATGCGATAAGTCAAAGTATCTTGGAAACTATAAATATTCCATGCGTGCAACATGATGATATTTATTTGAACTTAAGAAAGAAATATAATCTGTTAACAGATGACTATTTTATTTTTAGTGGTCTGTTCAAATATTTGTTTCCTAAGAGTTTCTCTTTCTTTATGTCTATGGCTTATGATATAGAGCTCCACTTTTCTAGTTTTTTAAAACTCCTCCACCATAATTTAATTACTCTCTGCAGATTCCTTATGCAGGTTGGCGAACTTTCCTGAAACTTGTGAGGACTCCTCAGTATTTGTCTGCTCCTCGGGGTGGGATGCAGCGTACACTGACCCCTGTCCATTTTGGGGAGAGAGTGCCCATGACTTTTGCTGGATTCTGAGTTCATGACCTGTCCCCCAAGGTTAAGAGTCATTTCTATGGACAGTTTAGTAGTTTTCTTTTACTTTTTGTGACATTTCTTTTTCTCCTCGAGCTGGTTTCATTTTTCTTTTAGTGTCCATGCTTGTATTTTGGTATTTTTAGGTGTTTACTCTTCAACTGTCCCTAGTGTGTGGTATTCTTGGTTTATTGTACGTCTTTGATCCAGCCTTTCTCCGTCTCTCTTTTGTCTGGCCAGCAGTGTCGGGATGCGCCAACTGCAGGGTTGTCCTGTCCAGCCCCTCTGGGACCTTTACTTCTCCATGCTACCCTAACGACTACCCCAACAGCCAGGCCTGCCTGTGGACCCTGCGAGCTCCCACTGGCTACATCATTCAGATCACATTTAACGACTTCGACATTGAAGAAGCTCCCAATTGCATTTATGACTCCTTATCTCTGGATATTGGAGAGGGCCAGCCTAAATATTGTGGAGCAACTGCCAAAGGCCTATCATTTAACTCAAGTGCGAATGAGATGCACGTGTCCTTTTCAAGTGACTTTAGCATCCAGAAGAAAGGTTTCAACGCCAGCTACATCAGAGGTATGTAAACGAAAAGCAGTGCCAGCCTTCTGCTTTCATTTAACATGCGCTACAGTAAACACATGGGCCAGAAGACAGAGTCATGCTCTTTTATGTGAATGTGAGTGCGTAGGGTTAGGATTTAAGGGTAGGAATCTGTTAATATTTTCTGAATATTCTCATCAGCAAAGTATAATTACTAGACTAAAAATCTAGTTATAGTAGAGCCGAATTCTTTTTATATGCTTTTAATGCAGAACTTTTAAAAGCCGCTTGGAAAACTAGATAGGTCACTGCTAATAATTAAAATTTGTAATTCTAATATCTCTCCACTGAAAATTTTAGATATCCTTACTTAGAAATAATTTTACTTTGGACATTTATGATGTTGCCCTTTTGAAGAATATTCTAGATAGCAAATACAGAAAATCAGCACATAAATTTAAAAAGAGTTCAAGCTAATAAACAGCTTAGCTTGAGGAAATCCCAGATGAAAGAAATAAAACATATTATTATTAAATATATTTTGCAAATTCTGACACATCATATCATTAAGATGAATCTTGTTATCTCTAAAACCAATCTTAAGGAAACTCAAGTTTCAAGACTGAGATTTAGTTAGCTATGTTTTCTTCTGAGCTTCTTAACCACATGTTATGCATTAAAAAACAACAAAAGTAGAATCATGATAGCTACATTATTATAAATTGTGTGTTTTGGTTCAGGAGTTTTACTGTTTATGATTAAGTACATGTGTGGTTACGTAAGACCTACATGCTTTAAATACAGTATTTCAAAGCACTGTTTTAAAAATTATAAGGTATAAGAAATTTGAAAATAGTAAAGAAGCAAATTAGAATTTTTCTAGATTCACCACCCAGCCACAGTCATTAATAAAATGTTGATGGTTTTTTCCAGCTTTTTTATCTGAACAATACATGTTAAATGTATGACTTCTATTTCATAAATAGCCCTTTTTTTTGTCTTTTTGAGACAGGGTCTCACTATGCAGTCCAGGCTGGCCTTGACCTCACTTTGTAGCCCAGGCTTGTCTCAAACTCTCAGCAATCCTCCTGCCTCAGCCTCCTGAGTTCTGGGATTACAGTCATGCACCACCACACCTGGCTAAATAGCCCTTTTAAGTAGACTTGTAAACTGCTTTATATTTGAAAAGTAGAAATTCATGATTCTCACAAATTCTTTTATAGATTTTTACTACAGTGTTTGTATTAAAATCATATAGTATAGAGCAATTTTGGTGCATATTAAAATATATTCAAGCTATCATTTATATGAGAGTATTATTATTATTTGTGGTATTGGAAACTGAACTCAGCATCTTGCACACAGTAGGCAAACACTGTACCACTGAAGTATATTTGCAGCTGAAACCAGTATTGAATAGCATTTTGAGGAGAGATATTTATCTCCTGAAGCCAGCTCTCACCTCACCTAGAGAGTTGTATAACTTTTAATTTTTCAACTTTTAATTTAAAGATTAAAAATATTCACCAGCTTGACTACCTGTAAGTTAAAGTTTAGGTGTGGTATGTGACCATGCATAGAGCTAAAATGGGTAGGATTTCTCAGTTATTATTAAAGGCATAAGACCATTGGGAAAGGTTGGTGATAGAGGATGGACAAAGATAGAGAGGAGTGAGAAGACAGGGAGTGGGTGAAAGGTTAGTGAGTACCAAGTGCAGTGCATCAGACTATTTTGCACCTCACTACGCCAAGATCTGGAGTCAGTGTGCCTTACTTAAGGTGTTATGCTTTGTCCTAGTTGCCGTGTCCTTAAGGAATCAGAAGGTCATATTACCCCATTCACCGGATGCTTACCAGGTGTCTGTTGCAAAAAGTGTCTCCATTCCAGAGCTTAGCGCTTTCACGCTCTGCTTTGAAGCAGCTAAAGCTGGTAATGAAGACCATGACTGGACAGCTTTCTCCTACTCAGATGCATCATCCTCACAGTTGCTCAGTTTTGGAAAGGCCAACGATGGCTACTTCCTATCTATTTCCGGCTCAAAATGCTTGCTGAACAGCGCGTTACCTGTGAAGGAGAAGGAAGATATTTTCACGGAAAGCTTTGAGCAGCTCTGCATTGTTTGGAATAATTCTTTGGGCTCTGTTGGTATAAATTTCAAAAGAAACTATGAAACAGTTCCATGTGATTCTACCATTAGTAAAGTTATTCCTGGGAATGGGAAATTGTTGTTGGGCTCCAATAAAAATGAAATAGCCTCTCTGAAAGGGGACATTTATAACTTTAGACTTTGGAATTTTACCATGAATTCGAAAATCCTCTCCAACCTCAGCTGTAATGTGCAGGGGAATGTGGTTGACTGGCAAAATGACTTTTGGAATATCCCGACCCTGGCTCTGAAAGCTGAAAGCAACCTGAGCTGTGGTAAGTCTGTGGCACAAGAATTAATACTGTTTTAATTTTTTTTGTCCTGCTTGACAAAAATTCTAGTAAGAAATTATACACAAGCTAATATATGTGTACACACAATACATATATATGTATATGTGTGTATATATGTGTGTGTGTATATATATATATATATATATATATATATATATATATATATGGTTAAATATCTGTTTTAGCTTTTAAAATCTTATCCACTCAACCTTTCACAGCATACATTTGATTACAAGGTAGAGTTTTTTAAGGAAAGCCTTTTGTCTTACCATTCTTAAATTTTTGTTAGTCAAAAATACTATGCAGTTTATCATTAACAAGTCTCCTAAAATTATCAAGTCTCAAGTGCAAATGTTATTGCTAGGTTTGATACAAAATAATGATTTACTGTTTTTAATTAAAAAATGATTCACTAATAAGCTGATATTTATCATCCTGGTGTGAAATTTCAATTATGTTACTTAAATAAACAGCCATCACCTAAGAAGAGAGTGTTTATTTAGCTAATACTAAGTAATCGAACTGTCTATTTATGGAAAATATTCAAAGTCAGGAAGTACCAATTTTTTCTTTGAACTTTCCTCTCTGTTTGTTAGAAAATGAGCATTTTTAGTTTGTTTCAAATAGTATTCTTTCATTGTTCATTATTTAAGAGACTTTAAATGTGGTATTACTGGAAGTAGCCAAATGCAAAATTTTTAGGAAAAATTATCTTAAAGTAGGCTTCCATTCTATATAATAAAAATCATGTTAAAATAGACTTTTGCTAATATTATTTCTGTATACAGGTTAGTTTTGGAAATCACTTTTTGCTGTAGGATTGATTTAAACACAAAAAACCGAAGTTACACTATGAATTTTAAACACTATGTGACTAAACCGAAGTATTGCTAATACATACTTTTTAGTCACAGAGACAACTCTTCTTAAAGGAGGGAAGAATCATAGTGTTCATGTCTTTTGTATGTGATCTTGGAGAGAAATTCATCGACAGTGAGTTCTCCATTCTTTGCCCAAAGAATGATCCATTGTAAAATCCCAAGGCCACCTCCACAGGTTTCCTGCACCTGTCCTGCCCTTCTGGCCTGGGAGACTCTGGTCACCTGCTCTGTGGAAGTCCCCACTCTGCAGATGGCAAAAGGCCTCTTACGTGGTATCATTGAGAGAGATTTTTTCTGATCAGTCATTGGGAAGAGGGTACTCCGCACCTTGTTCCAGAAGGAGATGGTGGCGCTCTGTAAGAGCAGACGTGTTGCATAAGATCCTCTCTATGGGACTAACTGTGGAGGACCTTCGGGAAAGCTGAGAATCTGTCGGTCAGCAAGGCTGCTGTGAAGGTGGAGCGCGCGTGTTTGGTGTGGGACAGTGGAGAGCGAGGACATGCGGTCATACCCCTGCTTCATCCTGGGTGATTGTGTAGGGACCTCTTTCCAGCCGATGCTTGGCTATTATTAAAATGTCACAATATGCCAAGTGAAAAAACTTAGGGGCTACGTATATTAATTGCTAATAGTTATATTTGAATTGAGTACTTTGTACTAGGTGCCATTCTAAGCAATTTATGCATATGTTCTATAAGTGCATATTGGAGTATGTGCTTACTTTCCCTGTGCGGAATTGGTACATGTACATGACGCATCTCAGTTCCTTTATTTATCCCCTTTCCCTTCCCACCTCCTCACTCCATCCACCTCTTGACCCCAGTACCCCCTTTTTTGCTACATGCTTGCAATACATAATGTTTACCTTCCTTGTGTGAAACTGGCATATGCGGATAACACAGCTTAATTCCTTTTCTTCATCCCCATTCATGCCCCTCCCTCTCCTCTCTCTCAGTCTTTGGATCCCTTCTCCTTTCTAGAAAGATCTACCCTCCTGCTTTTAATTATCTTTTACTTTGTTCTCTATTTGTACTTTGGGTTTGTCATATAAGAGAAGCAGTATGGTACTGAGGCTTGTCTATCTGATTTATTTCACTTAAGGTTATGGTCCAAGGTCATCCATTTTCCTGCAAATGATTCAAGTTTATCCTTCTTTATGGCAGAATAGTACTTCATTGTGTATAAACAACACATTTTCTGTACCTGTTCATCTGTTGATGGACATATTGTCTACTTCTAAGTTTTAACTATTATGAATTATGCTGCTATAATCACGGACACACATATATCAGTGTAAAAAGGCAGAAGATTTATACCATCTGAAGAGAAACCAGAGTATGTATCAGTGTAGTATGACATCTTTAACTCTTTAGGGAAGACACCTAGAAGGGGAATAGTTGAGTCAAATGGCATTTCACGTTTGGGTTTTTTGAGACCTCTCCATACTGATTTCCAAAGGGCTGTCCCACTTTATATCCTCATCAGCAGTGTGGAAGGCTTGCCTTTTCCCTCCAGCCTCTCCAGCACTTGTTATTATTTGATTTCTTGATGATGGCCATACTTTCTGAGGTAAGGTAGAATTTCCGTGTTGTTTTAATTTGCATTTTCCCAGTGGCCAATGATGGGCATTTCTTCATATATTTATTGGTCCTTTGTACTTTTTCTGTGAAATATCTGTTCATTTGAGTTACTCATTTTTTGTTGGGTCTTTTATTTTTAAGGGGGTCTAATTTTTGAGTTCTTTATTGTAGATATTAGTTCTCTGAGGAATAGCTGGTAAAATCTTTTTTGCTCTCTGTAGGTTTTCTCTTCACATTGTTGGCTGTTTCTTTGGGAGGACATAAGCTTTGAAGTTTGAGATGATCCTTTGTTGAGTCTCCCTACTGTTTCCTGTACAACAGGGGTTCTGTTCAGCAAGTCCTTGCCTATGTCTGTGGCTTCAAGAATTTTACCTGTTTTGTCTTCCAGCAAGTCAGATGTTTCATTTATCATTTAGTTTCTTGATCCATTATGATTTTAATTTAGTACATGGTGAAAGATAGGGATCTGTGTTCCATCTTCTGCATGTGCATCACTTATTAGAGGCTCTTTACTTCTACTGTACATTTTTGGCTCTCTTATCAAAGATCAGATAATTGAATGTGCTTGGGGTTGTTTCTGTATCCTTGATTCTGTTATAGATGAACTCATTTCCTGCATCATCGATCCCATCAAGAGCATTCTATTTTGCAGATGGGGACTCTGGGCAGAAGAAGATTAAATAACTTAGCCCCTGTCATTTAGTTGTAAGTGACCATGGCTGAGTTTGAATGCAGAAAGTTTGTTTTCAAGAGCTGTGTTCTCTTAACCAGTGCAAATTTGACTGTCCTTCAGCATAGGCAAAACTATCAGATATAATGCAGTATTAGTGAGTTAACTGCTGGCAAGAAAAGAGCATAAAGGTCAGGGATACAGCTCTTCTGACCAGCAGTGCATTCTATGGGAAAACACTATCTTTATAGGGTGTTAACATAGTGTTCGTTCTTAGCAAACTTAGGTTTCTCTCCTGCAGTGCTTTTGGATACTTTTAAGATAAATGAGGGATATGGTGTTAAAGGGATTTCTGTACTTTCTAAGAAACCCCCCAGAGCAGAGGTTGACAACCTTGGAGGGCCTATGACAGCTGCTTATTTTTGTGAGCCATTTCAGAGGAGCATAGCCATGCCCAATAGTTTATGTACTGTTTGTGGCTGCAACTGTGCTCCAGTAGCTAAGTTTACTGACTGACAGATACGGCATGACCCCCCGTCCTAAAATATTTACTGTGCAGCCCTTGAAGGGAAAATCTGCCAACCTCTGAAACTAGTTCAGATAATTACAAAAGTCCATTGCGCTGTAACCCACACTTTGGATAACACTGGAGAGAGCCTGCCAGCTCTCTGACACCAGAGGAAGCCATCGTTACCCGTTGTTTAGCCATTAGACTTTGGCGATAGTAGTAGTATGTTCTCAGATATTTGCATTTGCTCCACATAGTGCTTTTAAAATGGCGGATTATTTCTAGCATTATAAAATTAGATTTCACTTAAGAAGTAAAATTTTTTTCTTCTTCTGGCAAACAAATAATATTACTTGGCTGGTATTTCTTCCTGGCCAGAATAATAGAGTTGAGTAGTGGCTTTCTGGTTCACCTCAGCACTCCCCACATCCTCCCGCTAAGCGTCCTTCTTCATCTTTAGATTGCCTTCTGACCCTGGTAGACATTCAAATTTGCAAATCCCGATTTAGGCTGCTGCTTTACTTTATACAGGACAGGAAAGTGAAGTGTAGAAGAAAAGAAGTGGTTAAGGTGGTTGGTGGATGAAGTCACCTGTGTCCTGTCTCCTTATCAAGTTTATGTCTGAGAAGCCTCATATTTTATTAAAAAATTTTAATTTTTATTTTTTAATTGATAAAACTTGCATGTATTTCTGGTATAAAACATGGCGTTTGACATGTGTATATCTCATGCATGGTGGATTGATAACTGGTGGTCAGTTTGTAACACCTGGCTGAACTGAATCAGCATAGTGCTGAGTGTGGAGGCCCCCCCGAGGACTGTTGCCAACAGCATTGAAAGGAGAACTGCAGAGGAAGAGCTTGTGCAGTAGGTTCTCTTGGAGAAGTGTCTTGCACTGGTTTTCCTGATAGGAACTCGGCTGTTCTCTTTTTTGGAGGAGCTCAGGATCTCACAGTTGCTGAGGATGGCTGTAGTTCACTTTGGGGGAGCTCTGGTCCTTGCTTTTAGCGTCGCTTCCTGGCTCCAGTGCAGATCCCTCAGCCTGCTAGCACAGATCCTTCATCCCTCTGGCACAGACTCTCTAGCTTCCACCACTGGTCTTTGGGCCTTCCCAGCACAGATCCGTGATACAGACTTGCATGAGACGTTGTCATGGGCTCTTGGCCTCCAGCTGGACTCACGGGAGGCCTTGTCATGGGCCCTAGGTCTTCAGCTGGACTCATGCAGGACATTGCTGTGGGATCCAGGCCCTCAGCTGGATTCTTTGGGTCTCTAGTATGTGAACAGATTTCCCACATTCTTGTATTTGACTCTTTGGGTTAATATTATAAAATAATCCTATA